TTTCACTTAGCATAATATTCTCCAGGTCCATCCATGCTGTCACAGGGGAAAATTTCCTTCTCTTTTTAAGGCTGAGTAGTATTCCGTTGTGTAAATGTATCATAGCTGTTTTATCCACTCACCTACTGATGGGCACTTGGGCTGCTTCCAGGTCTTGGCTATTGTAAATAACGCTGCAATGAACATTGGGGTGCATGTGTTCTTTCAAATTAGTGTTTCAGGTTTCTTCAGAGAAATTCCCAGAAATGGAATTGCTGGGTCATAAGGCAGTGTCATTTTTAATTTTTTGAAGTAACTCCACACTGCTTTCCACAGTGGCTGCACCAGCCTGCCCTCCCCCAAGCAGGTCTGCCTCAGGCGGGCCTACCTGCAGTGTGTGGGTGTCGGAAAGATTTCCCCACACGAGTCCAGATGGGTTTGAGAGTATGTTTACTAATGCTGGGGACAATGAAAGAAAGGAAGAAATTAGGGTAAAAGAAAGAACAGGGAGAGCCTAGGCAGTGCTCCGCTTGTCTCTCTAGAAATGTTATAGGAAAGAAGGGAGCCAAGGCGAGGCTGCTGTTAGCTCACTGGGAAGTGAAGGTCACGACGGTGACAGAAGTGAGCCTGGGCCCAGTTGCTTTCGCTCACTGAGAAGTCAGAGAAAAAGGGGGCCTTGGAGGCAGGTTCAGGTGATCAGCCTGGGTCGAGCTGCCTCTGCCCACTGCTCCCCTGGCTGCAAGTCTCATAGGGACTCTTAGAAATGAAAAGTTCATGCGCAGTAAAGGGCATGGGCGAGCTCTAGAGAGAGCCTGTATTGAGTTTTGGCCTGAGGGCTTTCTTTCTTTCCTTTTTTTTCCTTTTTCTTCCCTGCAGGTGAGAATCTTAGGGGAGAGTTTCAGTAGAATATTCATCAGCTTTTCAGGAGCATTTTTATTAGGCTGATGCATTAAAATGAGTGTTTAGGGAGTTTTGGATAATTCTTTGGTCTGTTTTACTTTTATCTTAGGTCTGTCTGGCTTTCATTTTTTTTTTTTTTTTTTTTTTTTT